TTTCCTGCAGCACTTCTAGATTTTAAGAAGGCATCTCACAATCTTGTCCTTGATGAATTTAAATGGAGCATATTCACCCTCTCCTCTAACGCTTTTTATCCAGTCTTTGAATAATTTTTTTTTCTTCGCCTTCTCCAATTTTTTTTCAAGAGTATAGTAGGTGAGAAACCCTAGTAGGCTCACACTGATTTCTACAAGCATGAAAGTTCTTTCCATAGCATGGCAGAGCCCACAATTTCTTGCATATTAGCACCGTAGTCTGCTCTTTCATTAGACAAACAGAAATGCAGAATGGAGGAAGTTAAGGAGTAATGCTGTGCGCTTTTTTTGTTATAGGGAAAGGAGCATCCCCCCATGAATGCCAGGAAACATACTGTGGACCCTACCCAGAGTCTGAGCCTGAAGTGAAAGCAGTGGCTCGCTTTGTCAGAGATCACAAAGACATCATTAAAGCCTACATAACCATGCATTCTTACTCCCAGTTGGTGTTGTTTCCATATTCTTACACTATAGAAAAAAGCAAAGACCATGATGAGCTGGTAAGTCTTCCCATCTCCTGGAATTTCACATTTATTTCAGAATCTCTTACCCTGTTTTATTAGGCTGGTAATGAGGGAGTCACTGTGCTCTGAGGATCAAGAATTAGGAAATGAGATTTCTCTTGATGTTCTTAAGAACTTAAAGAAGTCTGGGCTGGTCTAGCAGTGTGTAAATCAGCAAGCTTCTTCTGAAGACTACAGACAAATATTATTCCAGATTGATTACACATCAACAACCCCTGATATGTTGAAGCTGCTGCTAAAAGAGCAGTGTCTCGGAGTTTTTGTACACCTTGAAAAGGTATTTGTGTAAATTCCTGATTATGTTGCAGGGTTTACACAAACTCTGAAATTACTTGTGTGTAACTCTGAAAAATACCCTCCAAATACCCAAGTAATCAAGATTTCTGGTAGACCCTTGCTGCTTTTATTAAGGTTTTTGCTAGGGATACTTATTTAAAATGGTCCTAATGGTAGGATGGAAAACATACCCTGCTTATGTAGACTATTACATTCTTGAGCCACCAAATCACATGGTAAAAACTCTCCTAGAAGACAGGCAGAGTTCAAAACAGAAGAAGTAGCTGCTGCTTCTTCCCACTGACTGTAAAACTCTGGGTTTGTCTGGACCTGGAAAGGGTATCTGGTCTTAAATCGGATTTGCTAACACAGAATAATCAAGCCATGAGAGTAGGTGGATGGCTTAGTCAGATTCTTCTTCCGTAAAGACACCAAATTCCCTAAAGCGAGGAATTCCCTTTCCTGCGCGTCCTAGCCCCATTTTGGTGTTTCCTAATCTCCAAGCGCTGAGGTAACGAATTCTTTTATTTGCAGCAAGGGCTCCTACCTAGCAGTAAGGAAGGAGCAAAAACCATGTAAAGGTGACCAGAAAGCAGGTTTGCAGGCTTTGGGATTTGCCAGACGGTAAGACAGCGCTTGTCTGAGGTGGACAGGTCGCTTTGATGCTGTATGACGTAAGCACAGACAGTAAGAGAGTTTATAAAGATAACAGGATTGACATTTGCACACACTGCTGTCATTTTACCGCTTTTCAACCTCATGCATCTCCCACTTTGCTTAACATATTTTATTTTTAAACCCCATGTTTTAAAACCCAATTTATTTTAAAAAATAAATGTTGTATTGATAAAAAGGACTGTAACAAGTACATAATTAATGCATTGGAAGCATCCTACTTCATTAGACAAAACCCCCAGACAGTCCAATATGGCATTCCATTGGTAACTAGTGCCAGTGTGTTCAGAAGAAGAAATGAAAAAAATCCAATAATGTAAATACAGAACAAACTAACTCCAAACAACATATATTCTTATGCTACCTTGGTTACTGTTTTTCCTGAAACAAACTGTTTTATATACTGCAATAAAAGAAAATGCAGTTGTGAGTGAACAGTAATAATGCATTTGTGACTCCTTCCCTGTAAAGCAGAGAGATGCACTAATTCTGGGTGTTTAAGTCTTCTTCATGGCTTAAGAGTAGAATTCCCTCAATGAAAGTCTTTTTCTGCTGTTTTTGTCAATACTACATAAATCAACAGTGACTTAAGTACCGTGGCGGAAAAGGAAAAACATGAGACAGGCGGGAACAATAGTTTGACAAGAGTTTGCTGCCTGAAGTGGTGGTAAGGTCCCATCTATATTTTTTATCTAGCTACAGCAGAAATGCAATCTGTAGCATGGGCATATATGCTGAGAATTTTGACCACATTCTGTGGGTTTTCTAGAGCCTTTTATAAGAGTATTTAAGTAATGTGAGATCCAGAGTACAATGTAAGTAAAACCTAACTGCATATATATTATTATCACAAGGCTATAAAGCTAATAATGTTTTGTTTAATTTCAGGAAACTCTGGCAAAGAAAGCAGCTACAGCTATAAAGAGGACAACAAAGAAAACGTACAGACTTGGTCCTGGTGCACAAACAATTTGTAAGTATGACTTTACTAAAACAATAGGCATGACAGCACATCCTTGCTAGTATCAGAAGACAGCTTTTGAACAGAAAACCAAAGTTCTGTTTTCGGGTAACTTATCTATATGCCCTTTCTCACATAGATTTAGCTCCTGGGGGTTCAGACGACTGGGCTTACGATCTTGGCATTAAATATTCTTTTACCATTGAGCTTCGGGACACAGGAACTTACGGATTTTTGCTTCCTCCTCAAGAAATTAAACCAACTTGCATAGAAGCACTTTCTGCTGTCAAAGAGATAGCTCAGCATGTTCTTCAAAATTCGTGATGTTGAATTTAATTTATTCCAGCATGACTGTGCTTAGCTCAAATAATAATAAAAAAGCTTGCTGCTTTGTTTGAATTATTTATACATGGCTGAAAAAAAGAAGACTGCACTCCTTATACTTCATCTTAGAATACATCAGGTTTTTTCAACCATACTTGTATAGCTATACCTACAACAGTAGTTCAGTGCACTACATATATATATAAAATACACAGGAGAAGGGGAAAATAGCATAGATAATGCTATGTCCCTCTAGGTGGTGGGAACTCCAGGCGATGTAGCATTGAACAAGCCTCCGATTGACATGTGGCATGCTGAGCAGACCCCATCCACAGAAAAGATTCCTCCATTTCGGTCATTCGAGCTATTACAGGATTACCTTACAAGAAGACAACCCTAGTCATCATTCCCACTGTCAAACAGAAAGGATGTTCACATGAGAATTTGTTGCTGCACATTTAGATAAAGACACAGAGGTGACCAAAATCACTGATATTGGCCCGCAGGCTCCTCTGCCACCATGAGCTGGCTAAGTTTATTTCTCCAAGGGTTTGCACAGCTCAACATAGGCCTTGGGCCTTCCATAGAATCATAGAATGTTTTGGATTGCACGGGACCTTTAGAGGTCATCTAGCCCAACCTCCCTGCAGAAAGCAGGGACATCTTTAACCAGAACAGGTTGCTTAGAGCCCTGTCCAACCTGGCCTTGAATGTTTCCAGAGATGGGGCCTCCACTGGGTAACCCATTCCAGTGTTTCACTACTCTCATTGTAAAGAATTTCTTCCTTATATCCAGTTGGAATCTACCCTCTTTTAGTTTAAAACCATTACCCCTTGTCCTGACACAGCTGGCCCTGCTGAAAAGATTTTCCCCATCTTTCCTATAGGCCCCCTTTAAGTACTGAGAGGCCACAATCAGGTCTCCCTGCAGCCTTCTCTTCTCCAGGCTGAACAAGCCCAACTCTCTCAGCCTGTCCTCATAGGAGAGGTGCTCCAGCCCTCGGATCATTTTTGTGGCCCTCCTCTGGACCCGCTCCAACAGGTCCATGCCCATTGCCCGCTCATGTACAGCTTTTCATCCCCCAGCACCCCCAAGTCTCTCTCGGCAGGGCTGCTCTTGATCCCTTCATCTCCCAGTCTGTATTGACACTGGGGGTTACCCCAACCCAGGTGCAGTACCTTGCACTTGGCCTTGTTGAACCTCATGAGGTTCACACAGGCCCACCTCTCTAGCCTGTCCAGGTCTCTCTGGATGACATCTCGTCCTTCTGGTGTGTCAACTGCACCACCTTTATCCCAAGGCCTGTGGTGACAGGACAAGGGGCAACGGTTTCAAACTGAAAACAGGCAGCTTTAGGCTGGATGTAAGTAAGAAATTATTTATGATGAGCACTGGCACAGGCTGGCCAGAGAAGCTGTGGATGCCCCACCACTGGACACGTTCCAGGCCAGGCAGGACAGGGCTCAGAGCAACCAGGCCCTATGGAAGGTGCCGCTGCCCGTGACAGAGGGGTTAGGCTGGATGAGCTCTAAAGGCCCCTTCCCACCCAAACCGTTCTGTGATTGTTTTTTGCACCTCAGCCACGCTGACTATTTGTCATTCCCACAACCCCGATCGGCCAATGCCGCCGGCGAACGCCGACTCAG